AGCCGGTTGTATTTTGCAGCAAATCAGATCGGGACACTGTTAGTAGGGTACCCTACGAAAGAAATAGAGACTTTTGGAGGTGTCGTCTGAATATTATATATACTATTTGTCTTGGTATTTAAAGACTTAGGGGGACAAAAGCTTGGCGTGAGCGGTGAGCACCAAGCTTTTAAAGCATTTAAGGATGGGAGAAAAGTTCAAAAGATTCGTTACAATACTTGAGATTCCCATTTAGTACTATAATATACTACGAAGGAAATAGAGTCATAGAGATATATCTTATTTAAAGCTTTAGAGGCTATTGTGAAACAAAAACTGTGCGTACAGTGAGAACGAACCTTTAAAAAAGATGCAAGAAATGGTAAAAACCGTTTAAAACGTTCAAAAGATTCGAACAAATAAGTTTGACGATATTCTTATTTAGTACTAATGTAGGGACAGGAGACGTGGCAGCTTGTAACTACGGTTACTTTAAATTTACTACACCGGGAGGATGTAGGAATGATGGATTTTCTGGATACCTTTTTTTTAAATCAAGAAAATTTAAGATATCACTCTAGTGCCTACTTATTCGACTTTTCTTATTGAACATCAGAGGGACGTTAGGGTCCTGTCATGGGGGTGCATGTTATATTGAAATGTATATTTTTTAAAGGAAATTTGCATTTTTAACAATTTGGCAACCAAATTTTTTAAAGACATAATTTTAAATTCCACTCCAAAACGTACGGTCAAAAAGACTAGATTACTAAAGCTTGCAAAAGCTGTAGTATCTCAGTAAAACTAAAAATAACTTGCAGCAGACCCATACGTATACCGGCATATCACGTTATAAAACATAATGTTAAAGATGCCTGGGATCACATTTTTCTCTAGGTGCAAAATGAATAATGTAGTTTTATTCGAATTTTCTAGAAAAGTATATTATATACAGGGGGGCCAAAAGTCAGTGTGCGAACGTTGGGTCTTATACCTCCACCGTGTTTTATATTTGAGAGTTGTTGCTTTGCAGATGGCTGTACTGTACCTACTTATTTGAGGATTCCATCGCCAAAATTTTAAAATTTTAAAACTTTATTGTTCTCTCTGAACATACTGGACGCCTAATTTCTTTAGAGACGGTAGTTGAGGCAAAACGGATTAGAAATGACACAAGCATTTTGTGTATATCGATAAAAAAATTTACTGGGTGATTATGTGACACCATGACACGACCCCCCCCCCTCCCCCCCCCCCCCCCCCTGTACTTTTCTTTAAGGTTTACAAGGTTTATACAAGGTTTACAAGGTTTACAAGGTTTACAAAGATAGATCTATAAATCGGCGTTGCTAAAATAAATCCAAATTCCGTAATCCAAATGTGAGAGAAAACCATTACCAAAATGTCGTGGTGTCACTGAGCTAAAGCCAGAGGCGAGTGCAAATCGATCAAGATAGAAGCTACCAAAAAGAGCGAGAAAAGCATGCAAACCCTAGCAGGAAAACAACAACAAAGTGAAATGTGAAAAATAAAGATGCTTGATGATATCATTGTGTGATTGTGTAGTCGACGATGTGATTGTGTTGAAGTGGAGTGCAAATGTCGAGTGCAGAATATGAAGGTGATGCGGCGGAAAGGTGATGTCTCGTACTGTATGAACTTTTTTGTTTTGTTCGGAATATAATGAATTTTTAAGAGAAGTGCAGTACTAGGGTCAGTTTCAGACAAATTGAGCATACATGATATCATTGCCATGCCTGAAGTGGTTTGTATATGGGCCATTGTTAGCCCCAAACGTTTTGGCCCCTCATTCCTGCCACTCATCATTGCCTACTATAAAGTATATACATTTTTCTAAGATCATAGATAAACTTACCCCGTCTCACTAATATCAACCAATATAATAATAATTTATATAATAATATGATTAAAGGAATATAAAATAAAACTTATTGTTTCACTGAGAACTTATTATATAAAGTTTGTCCTTTAGTGTGATGGAAACTCCTGAAGCAATTGTAGTAGCAATCTGTGTGGTAGTATTCGTGATGGTGTTACTCTGCACATGCATGTTGAAATCATCACTCATGGACAGACTACAAAAACGACTTGATACACCTTCGGACGGATCAGACAAAATACTACAAACCACTACCATGACTGTTCTTACTAAAGAAACTGTTTTGATTGACTAGTGACATTCGACTTATATTTGCATTATATTTCTACATTTTGTACTGTAATGTGTTTTGGTCAACGGATTTTCAATTTATTTGTTCTGACAATAAGTTGTTTTTGTCACCATAGATTTCTCCGGATATTTAGTTTCCAGTACCTCAATGGTGACTTGTGTCACTCACACTGTCCTCACTCAATGGTCACTGGCAGTGGTCGACCGGGGCCCCGGCCCCGGCCAAAATCACAACCCCCGGCCCTTCCCGGCCCCGGCCAAAATTTGGCAATTCGCCGGGGGTAAACCCCGGCCCCGGCCAAAAAATGTAACCCCGGCCCCGGCCAAAAACCATGCATTTGCCGGGAGCACAGCCGGGGATTTATGAAGGTCTATCAGCAGCCCCCCCGGTCTACTCACCGAATACCTCGAGAAATCGGGTGAGAGGTTAAATAGTGATAGCTAAGCACAATGCAGCAAAGCTCAAGTCCTCGGACAAGAAAAGATGGTACACACTACCTTAACCGTCCACTGCTGGCCAAAATGAGCTTCGGCTTCCTGTAATTGGATGGTTGCACTTAGTGTAACAATGTGGCTGTTGGAATACACGAAGTAAAATAAGTGGTCTAGATAAAAAAATAAACATCTCAATGGTATCTGTAGTTGCAAGAACATGCAATTGCATTTTCCACTGCAACTTCCAGTCGATTCTAACAAGTTGCGACTACCGCAGACAACACCTTCAAAGTTAAGACCCCATACTTCCTCTAAGATAGAACTTCCCGTCCCAGATACACTACGAATTAGCAGGTACCGTGACGGAAACTGCTACATTTGACCGAGACTACAAAGAACGATTTACCAACATAATCGTTCTATCGATGAACTGTTTCCTGGCCGTAAGTAGTTTGTTAAAAATTTTTCCGGGAGATATATCGTGCCTTCAAGCCTTCCTTAGTAGGTTCGTTTCCTGTAAGAAATCCTCCGAAATTAACATCACAGTGCCACAAATTTGTGCGTGACCGTTGTCCCGAGCAATTTTGACCTTCGTAACTAAACCTACTCGGGGATCTCCCCTCTCATGGAATGAGTTTATTAGCAAGGCCCCGCAACTCTTATCGGGAAGGTCCTATGTGGATAGCGTCAATAATTAAACGGTCAATTAACCGAATACACTAAACTAACGCATGCACCGGTATCTGCTAAGTACATATTTTTTGACTGCAATGTCCTGGCCACAATCCTCCTTACTATTATATCGGGCCACTGTGTTTGTAACTCTAGAGCATTCCCCTCTGAATACGCCCTGATTTGCGATACAATTGTATGGATCCAACCCGGACGCCTGTACAACACCACTTTCTAGTTTTAAAGAATGTCAGGAAAACACCCGTGTTGGGCCGGTCTGGGTGAAAATTACCGTGGAGGGTGTAAGGGGGGGGAGAGGGGGGGGGATATATACGAGTTGGTAGGGGGGGGGGCCTGCATCATTGTTTCCGTAGCCTCTGCTTAGGCAGATAGAGATTACAGGAAAGGAGGGCCCCACATATGTGCATGGAGAGGGCATTATGGCCCCGAGTAATACTGTTAGTCTGGAAGCTTATATAGTTTCCCTCTCAGTACGGAAGAATGGACGTGGGATAATCGGAGATTAGACATGGCCCATAACGTGGGGGGGGGGGGAGGGGTGGGGGGGGGGGATATTGCGGATGGTGGGGGTAGTGTGTCCCCATGGATCTCTTTTAATGTACATGTATTTCCTTGTACTGTCGGTTTGAATTCTCCTCCGGATCTTTCTTTCGCCCAGCAGTTAGCTCGACAGTCCGGCTTGTTACAATTCCAGCACGTTGTCTTGTAATCCGCCACCCGTCTCGCTCTCTATCGTGCACTGGTCCTGGGTCTTGACGAGTTTCTGCTATCTCCTTGGCAATTGTCCTATTTTACACCCAACCGAACCAAGATCTCGATCTGCTGCCATCCCCCGTAGGTCTCTGATAAAGTTAGCTTTCTTTTTTGGCTCCTCCCGATATATGATGCCTCAAAATGAGGGTCGTGACGGTTGGCTCGTCGGGGAATGGAGAAAATGCCGTTTTTTTTCATAATCGAAGAAACGGGAATATCTCTATCGTTCTCATTCATCATCATTCTCAACGCCTTCTAAAGAGAGTGGTTCTCTGGGTATGCCAGGAGAATTCACGTATCCTCAAATGCTCACACATAAGGCACGGAGCTGTCCTAAACAATTGGAGCTGCTGCATCCATAATTTTGCTCCTTACCTCCTCGTAAAAAAGAGCCAAAAGACAATTGTCTTCCGCCACTGGTTACATCCAAGTAAGGGGGTCTAGATACAATTCGGCGACTTCGCTGGCCCTCATCGAAAACGGTAGAGCGCCAAAGCACGAAGACTACTATAGATGACCGGAAGTGATACTGTACTCAGACGCCTGGTAGATCACACTTTTAGAGGGGAGGGATGAGAATTATTGATGTTGACATCAAGGCAGATAAGCGTTGTGTGGACGACAGTTAAGCAGTTTCGTGTATAGACATATGATTTTAAGTGCTGAAAGCTTCCGTTGCCATAGAAGGCTGCTTGTAGAGGCGCACAAAAAAGCTCAGGATCTTTTTTATCTCCCTATCACTCAGCTTGACTGCCCTCAATAACCGAATAGGTTTTATCGTCCCGTCCACCCTTTGGAGCAAATGCTCATTCAGGTAATGGACTCATCAATCTGGTTATTCTCACGTATAGAGAAATCTCTTCTCCTCACAAAACATGGAAAAATCTTCTCCTTTTTCAAACCTCTTCATTTTAGCTGCTCGGGAATAATTTTGCATTCAAAATTTCCCTTATCCGCGTCTGATCATTCCTCGCTCTCGTTTTCCTCCAAATCCGAATCGCCCACTTCGAACACCTCTTTTATTAATTCTTTTTCTCCTGCACTTTGAGCTCTTCCAGTGCGGAACGATTTTCTCCCCTCGTTTCAGCTTGATATTTCTCAACTCTTTCTTCGCTTTCAGCCGCTGCTTGCAACCTTTTCCTTCCCTTGACACTGCCACAAGTCCATCTATGCTCAGTTCACCTTTCGAGGGGATATTTACAAATGAGAATCAAATCAGGCTCCATTGATAAAAGCTCTTTTTTCCTTAATTTTGTTCAGCAAGGTGACAAGAGGGAAAATACTTCAATTTGAATAAACCGTAAGAATGTAATTCCCAATTCCTCAGTGTTCCCTTCAAATACCACGTCAAAATAATTCGAATAGCCCTAGTTTTCTTTAACTGTAAACATTAGCTGTAAACGTCTGCTGTAACAAACAAAAAATTGTCCTGCCATCCAACATGCCCCCACTTAAATAAACCTTAGATAGTATAAACACATCTCCCACTCGTATTTAAAAAATAGCAATCCCTAAACAATTCCCAAACTATCCTTCCTATAGCACAACAGAGGTGTAAATTGAAACTCTCTGATAACCGAAACAAGATGTTAAAAATAAACTTTTATTGTTTCCCTAAAACTCTCTGCTGCCCTAACAATATCTATAAACTATCCACCTATAGCCAAAACAGAGTTGTCAAACTGAAACTCTTTGATAACCAACACAGAGATGTTAAAAAATAAACTTTCTGTTTCCCTCCCTAAAACTCTCTTGCACTACCCTGCGTAACTAAATGTACGTACACTAATAAATGCCCTAAAATACTACGGTAAAATACTGTTAAAATGATCTAGTACTAAAACTGCTAAAACAGTATATCACATATTCTCATAGGAGATTCTAACTTGGGCCGATAACATTACGAAGCGGCAAAGGTAAACTTGGTGAATCGACCCCTTGCCTCAGATCTTGGGCACCTACAATTAGACTCACTAGACCCACTATCAATTCACATCATACCGTAATGTTTGTGCTAAAGGTGGGCACTAATGACCATAAAACAAAATTAAAACGACCAAAAGGTCAAATACTTTATAAGCAATAAATATATATTCATATGCCATACTTCCCACAAAATCCACCACGACAAAACCGTAGAATTTGTATGTTTAATAGATTATTGCTTAAGAATTATGCCCAGTGTGACCTAAAGATAACCTAGTTGAAGGTTTTATCAAGTTCCTATACAAGCGAAACAAATCTTTTAGATTATATCTTGCAAGATACTGATGTTGGAGATGAACTTCCATAAATCCCCCTTCCAAAATAAAAAGGCACCAGCACCCCCTTGTTTGTCCTATTAAAACGCTGCATCTTTCAATTTAAATCTAGGTAAACTAAATTATCAAGCAGTAGGTATATTCAACCGCACTCAAGGTGGCCCACCAAACCCTGTTATAGATAAATGACGTCCATCAATCAAACGAGAAATATGCACTGCTGCAACAAAAACGTCCTTATTTGTCAAGGATACTTGGAATGTCAAAAATAGTCCGCCCAAATCTTACACAAATTAAGCTTCAAAAAACTTCAAAATTTAGCCAAGGAGGCTCTGGACACTTATGCACCAACTGGCATCATATTAGTGTCATGATCTAACCAATCCCTTTAAGGAACTCATAGGACTTAACAAAGATGTCCTGATGATAAGTTTCTACTTCAGAAGACTTCTAGGAGTCTTTTGACGGTATTAACCAAGCATCCACAATTTTGGAAACCTGAAAGAGGTTACATACAAAAACTTTAATCAGTACCCTGAAAAGGTCCCTAATAACTCTGATTTTAGCACAATGTTTCTACAATATAGATGGAAATCTATCCACCTTTGACTCCTTTTCTGAGAAATTAGCAAGCAAAAAACTTACCTACACTCAGCTATTGCACTTGCTGAAACAAATGTTAATCAAAACAAAGGTGATCTTACAAATTAAAGCATCTACTCACTACTCGCATGTCTATAAATGATAAAATTCCAAATAGAAACAAAAGGAACAGGTGTCCCTGTTTATATATCCTGTTCCTCAATGCAACCACCATAAACGGACAAGCTTTAATCAGTACAAAAAAAATCATAAAAAAAACCTTGAAATCACTCTTTGTTTACTGTCTAATAAGGGACTGAAAAATAATGTTGGGTGGTTTATGATCACCCCAAAGGGGACTGCGGGAGGAAGAGTTTTCCTCAATGATTGACTACACCCTGAAGTCCACTCTTTCCCCAAAGACATAAAATCTATAATTTTGGGAGACTACAACTTTGACCTTCTAAAGAGAACAAATCCCACAACTCAAAACTTTGAAAATTGTTTCTTACATTGGGATTCTTTTTCCGCTCATCTCATTACCACTCACTCCACAAACATTCCCAACATTCCTGCATAGACAATATACTCACCAAACCGACATTGAAACTCGTCACGATGTCTGGGTAATTGATGAAATGAATTCCCACCACAAACCAATCATACCATGTACAACCTTTGCATGCCTAAGAACGTACATCTTCAGAGACAAAACGCTACTCCAACACTACAGCTTCTCCAAGAAAAATGTTGCTACTTTAATTACAGACCCTTGAATCCAAAAGAAGAATCATGGCAAACAGTACCAACTTAAACCTTCGTTAACAACTTCACATCATACAATTGACTCTAACTGCAAACTATAAACCCAAAGTCTCCAAAAGAAATCCAATTAACAATCCTTGGATGACAGATGGAATTTCAGAAGCTATAACAACTAAAATAGGAGCTGTAAGATGACTGGATAGCCTCGAAAAAATTCAAAAGAAATTTTTTTATTGTTTTAAAACACAAAAGGATCCCATATGAAATATTGATCTCCACACAAAATTTTCAAACAAACGTCGATGTCTAAAAGGTATAAAAAGTCAAAAAAAGAAATATTACTGTACTAAGATATGATCGAAGGAGACAGCAAAAAGACTTGGGAAGTTATCCTGAATTAAGAGGAAAATGCAAAAAAAACCATAAAGCTCAATTTCTGTGTCGACGGAGTATGCATCACAGAACGTAGACTCATAGCCAACAAAATTTATGAGCTACTTTGCCACAAATAGCAACGAAATTGAATGAACAAGTTGATGTGAATGAAAATTGAGCCACATCCTTCATTTGTTTGAATTTTTAACCAAAAACTAAACACCAAAATCCGGATTTAACTTAACAGACTGCACTGAGAGTGAAATATCTCAGATCATTTCGAGCTACAAATGGCAAAGCTAGAGATTTCCCCCATTAGTTGTTATTAAAAAGGCCTCACACATTCTCACCCAGTGCTTTCTCATACAATACAACAAACAACCTTATGTCATCAGATGCTTTCCCGCCATCCTTAAGAATAGGTAAAATAAAGCACCCATCTACAAAAAAGATAACGAAGAACACTTTACAAAATTATCGTCCAATTACCACTCCTCTCCCAATTTTCGGTAAAATTTTTTGAAAGTTGTATCTACTCACGGCTTTAGTGGTTTTCTCTCGAGTCAGGGAATACTGCACGATAGCCATTATGGGTCCGAAAGGGGTCATTCCAAAGCATCACATGCAACTCAACTACTCTATTCACCACATTCAGCAGTTACCAAAGCCGTAATCATGTTTTAGGAAGCTTTTATCGACCTAAGTAAAGCATTTGAATACGATAATCACTCAATACTTCTCAAAAAATTAAACACCTACGGATCAGAGGAACGGCACAACAAACTCCTGGAAAGTTATCTTCCGACCGTAAACAATATGTAGGTGTGCTCAATGAAATATCTGATACTCTAACATGTCTTTTTGGAGTGCCCCAAGGGAGCTTCTTAGGGCCCCCGCCCCCACCCCCCTTCTGTTCATAATTTACATAAACGATCTTTACAAACTCTGAAAAGAATCTAATTTGTTCTATTTCTGATGACACAAATATCCTTCGTCCGCTGCAAAAAGTAAAAACAAGCATAACAAAAAAGCCAATGAAGTCCTAAAATTCCGTACAACCCGGCTACATCTTGCCACTAAACTCACATAAACACTGGCAAGAGCATGTTTTACCTTGAATTCTCAACACTCCCTCGATCCAACAAAGATAAGATACACCCTCTGATCAAGAAATCAATATCAATGGCAAACCCCATGGAGGAGAGTACATGACACTAAATTCATAGGTGTAACAAATCGATGAAGACCTAAACTCTGGCACGCAACATAGAAGGCAAATAGCAAAAAAACTAGCCAGCTTCAGTGGCATGCTAAATAGAATTAAAAGATAACATTCCCCATCACTCCAGAAAAGATCTATAATCACACCACTGTATGAAAGCTATCTTGCATATGGTATAACATTGGGGAAGGGCATCTACAAAAAACTTGAACCTCTGTACAAAGCACAAAAAGTGTGCCCGCATAATGTTTGGATATAAAGAAGCATACTTGGATAAATTTACAACTAGTGCACGATGCAGACCCTACGGGGAGTACAAAATCCTGGGCAAGGAATTCTACAAAAAAGGAGCAACACAACCCCTCATTCAACACTCATGAATCATGAATTGTTGCATAAATCAGTACTTCAACCAATGTATTAATGACATCTACAAGTCCTTTGAAAAATATTAAGAACCCCTTTTATCACTATACTCCCTCTATTGAACCAGCTGGCAGAGACTTGGCAAAGAGACACAATTCCTCACACAAACCATCAGACAGCTACATATACAGAGCAGGACAATAAGGAATACAGTACGACAAAATCTCAGCAAACAAAATTCACCTGTTTAGAGCCCAATCACCTCAAATCATCCATAAAAATTCCCATCACTCACACTCAAAGAGGGTAAAGGAGAACCAAATGACTGGAAACTTAGCTATAAACAGCCGTTCGACACAATTCAAAAACTTTATAAAAGTGACCTTGCCCAAATTACTTAAGCTAGAAAAAGCGGTAATATCTAAGCAAAATATAACTTGCAGCAGCCCCATACCTTTGTCATGAACATAATATCCGAAACTACCTCTGTGACACAATTCTTTCTCTGGGTGCAAAAATTAAATATTATAAATATAAATAATAGGTTTTTTTAGTTTTATAGAAAATTTCAAAGTTCTATAGAAATTTATTATAATAAGATTATAAACATTTTTATTTTGTGTGTTTAGTGTTTATTCATTTTTATACTATTTTTAGAAAGATTTTTATAGAATGTTTAAAAGTGCAGTATGGTCATTTTTCAGACGAATTAAGCATAAATGACATCCCTGTCCATGTCTGAAGTGGTTTGGTAAATGGGCCCATTATAAGCCCCAAGCGTTTTGGTCCCTCATTCCTGGCCACTCAGCAATGCCTACTGTAAGTAGAAAATTTATCTAAAGAAAATAGAGAACCTGCACCTTGACTCCACTAAATCAACCACTTACCATAATTAAAAAACTAACAACCAAAATAAGTTTTTAAATAATTAGAACAATCACCAAAAAATTTCCTCAAGTTTTACTTCTAGCTAACAATTTCGTGGTTTAAAGCTCTATTTTATCTATGATTAAAGGAAAACTGTAAAATAATACTTTTCGTTTCATTGAAAACTTTTTCCGTTTCATTGGAATTTAAAGCATAACTAGTCGAAAGAATTTTAAAACGAGAATTTAAATACAGTGCAAACTAAACTGGGCTTGCTGCTCAGTATTTTTTTAGTCTCTTCGAATACCATCCCAGTCAAATAGACCCTCATAGGGGCCTTATATTGGAATACAACCCAATAAGTACTACTTACAAACACCAAAAGCGATAAATCAACATTTCAAGATACCCAGTATAAGGAGGCAAAATAATATACTCAAACGGTAATAACAAACTTATTCTATGCTAAACTAAAAATTAAAACTACCTCTTCAGTCTGCTGCCATTTTTCCTACGCAACCGACATCTTAAATATCTTCACAACATTGGGAACCGTATTCATTATAAATTGTCAGTTGAATTCAGGCTGCTGTATCCATGGTTGTTATTGTAGATGGAATTTGGGTGAGATGTGACTCGACAACAAATATGCAAGCCAAAAACGATTATAATACGTAAAAGGGTACATTCCTGTTGTTGTTCTAAAAAACTTTGGTAGAACCAACTTGATTACACAACAGTATAAAAACGGAACAAATACAACTAATCTTCACATATTACCTTGTCAATACGCCCGTTAAATAACCTTAAAAGTTGAAAATCAAAAAGTTGCACACGTGGGGACACGCCCAAATTGGTGGAAAATTGCTAAAATCATTGAAATTACTTTGGAGTCCCGTTGTAATGTAATTTCTTATTGAAATCTTTCGAAACTTCGCATGCTTATCAAACTATAAATAAAAAACCAATATGCAAAAATTTACGGTGATTCAATATTGGATGCGCACGCAACGTCCACTCAAAGTTTGGACGTGCGAAAGGTGAGAATTTTGCTCATTCGTGATTTCGATTAGATTCTGCTTTCCCACGACAGTTAGATGGCATTATACATGAATTTAATGGAAACTTGAATGAGTAAAAAGTGGTATTTTCAGTTGGTGATCGACAGATATGCTTATCTAAACACAAGAAATGTTTTCAAAGGTAAAATTTCGAAGTCGTTGAAATTACCTTCTTATTAATGAAGTTATCAGTTCAACATTTTGACTTTGTCAAGGACCCTGAAATTAATCAAAAAGAGATGATATTTGACCAAAACCCAGAATTGGGTAGAGAGGACCGCTGCCAGTGTCTCTCTTTCCCAAACAAAAGTAAATGATATTAATTTGAATGACCGTCCGTAAATGCAAAATGATACCGAGAATGAGATCGGTCACTCGCTTTTACCATTCATTTACAATCGTAATAGATTAAGAAGAACTACCCGAAGGCAGCTGTACTCGGCAATAACGATTCAATAAACATCAGCTAATTGCATTTACGGACGGTCATTCAAATTAAGATCATTTACTTTTGTTTGGGAAAGAGAGACACTGGCAGCGGTCCTCTCTACCCAATTCTGGGTTTTGGTCAAATTTTACAACAAGATCAGGTTCATGGTAGCACTTTACTTCAAGTAAAAATGTGTTAACATAGTTCAAAAGAATGTGCAACAAGCCTCTCTCACCTGGTAGATCTTTAGGATTGATGAACTCTGTTGCTCCAAACTCCCTTGCAGCTTTCTCCTTCTCTGGGTTCAGATCAATAGCAATGAGTTTAGTTGCCCCAGCAGCTTTACATCCCATCAGCACTGCTAACCCAACAGCTCCCATTCCCCAAACAGCACAGGTACTTCCTAGTATAAGAAAAACATCAGATTGCAGGTTGGAAATAAAATGTATGAGAGTCAACTTGTTTTGCAAGTGCATTAGAACGATATGTAAATCGTAACTTGTAAATACATTTAATGGAAACTCAATAAAACTTAGTATGTACTGAAATTATGAGGGGGCTTTTATCGGATTCCAATATTGAACAAAAATATGGCAAAAAGGAGATGTTTGCAAAATGTCTCACCAGGTTGAACCTTTGCTGTGTTGAGTGCAGCACCGTAACCAGTTGAAATTCCACATCCCAGAAGACAGATAGCTTCTGTACTAGCTGCTGGGTTAACCTTAGCACAACTTATCTCTGCTACAACGCAGTACTCAGCAAATGTGCTAGTACCCATGAAGTGGAACAGCTCTTTTCCTTTGCACCTCAATCTAGAGGTCCCATCAGGCATGAGACCTTTACCTGAATTAGAGGGATGTGAAATTTATATACCGAAAAAATCAAAGATAATTGTAGTCCACTTGGAGAAAGATGAGTTTGTGGTCTGTGTGGAGCATTCTAGCGGTCTGCACGTACATGCAAAAGCGATCAAAACAAAATTGAATCACATAGAAATAAAAATGCAGACATTACCCTGAGTATTTCGGATCTTCGAGCAGACGTTAGTGTCCTTCCTCACGCAGTACTCACACTCGTAACACTGGGGGATGTAACAAGGGATGACTTTGTCACCAGGCGCAACAGAGGTAACACCCTCACCCACACTTTCAACGATTCCTGCTCCCTCGTGTCCCAGCACAACTGGGAAGAGACCCTCTGGATCGGATCCACCCAGGGTGTATGCATCAGTGTGACAGACACCTGTTCAGAAAGGGGCCAGCAATTAAGTGATGTAATTGAAAACCTATTTGATCAATAAAAGTAGAAGGAAATAGCAGAGTTAATCGAAACCAGATTATGTCAGAGCCTAGATAAATTAGGGGGTGTGAGAGTCTCATCAGAGAAGAAAAGCTTCGTTAGCAAAAGGATTTCTCCCATATCACACAATGGCTTTTCTGTTCCGACTTTTCCAAATCAATCCACAAACTCACCCGTGAACTCTATCTTGATCCTCACTTCTCCAGCTTTTGGTGGATGTACTTCGATCTCTTCCATCGCCAGGGGTTCTTTGGCAGCCCAGGCTACAGCAGCCCTGCATTTTATGACTTGGCCTGCAGTGGACATACTAATCTGAAGAGTGAGCAATAAGTAAAATAAATGGATAAGTAACTTTTTCAGGGGAATGCACAATACACATCGCCAACCAGCTATAATTGTACAGTATAAAGTATGGAAAGTATGGAAACATAATTAAATGAAGGATTTCATTGTAAATACAATAAATTAAATCAAGTGATGCAATTGGCAGAGCACAATCGTAAATTCAGTTATAATTCAAGTTAAGAACAATGTGGTACAATGTGATACTCCTGTTTCCTCCTAATTTCCCGATGGATTGCGTGGAAATCATTAACACTTCATCACAGCAGATCACATATAATTATAGTGTGAGCTTAACCTCTGAGAACATTTGAAACATATTGAAACATTTAACAATAATTAAGGAGAAAAATGTATCCCACCGAGTTGAGTAGTATCTCATACATCAAACTATATTTTGAGAATATGTTTCGTTAAAAATCTACAGCTCTCAATTTTAATTATTAGCTCATGATTCTTATTATGTTACATGATGAAATTCAGGTACCAATCTGTCATTCAGTTAATTAAGGCGTTTTAATTGTTTCAAGCACAATTAAATGTTTTGACACAAAGAATCACTAAACAATTGTGTCCATAACCCTGCTACGTAACATTTCAGCAATGGCCAATTGGCTGACTATAAGGTCATGGCCTGAACAAACAATTTTTTTAAATAGTCAAGTTTTGATTGAAATAAATTTTCGTGCACATACAGAATGAATGGTTAATAATTTAATATATATGTAGACCAAGCTCTGTGCACGGGATGCTTCCTGGAAGAATCCAGTTCTTTTAGCGGGGCACCCTACCTAAAGCCAAATTGAGATATAATAATCATATTCCTAGAGAAATAATCAGAAATCGAATACCAATCAAATAATATGATATATAGGAGTAGTAACCATATTTACTATGCAAAATGCCCCAACCACATAGTGTAAATTTATATAGAATTCAAATTCCATATCATCATTAAACCTCAATACCTAGTCAATATAATAGCCCAAGCAAAATTAAATAACTTCTTATATACCTTACTGTCATACTACAAATTAATTAAACATTTGAAATCTGTTGACCAGAGAATAAATTTCTAAGCCTAATGCAAGTGAAATAATTTAGATGCAATAATGAATGCCTAATGTGAGTATCATTTGTCAATGTCCTTGTAAAAAAGTCTGTACAAGAGATATGAGTAACTAATATAGAAGAAAAATGAGTAACTAATATAGAAGAAAAAACAGGAAGTTGTCGTCTGTTGTAAAATAAATAAAATATCTAGAATATAAATTAGAATATAAAATAACATTCAGTCAATGTGTCGTCAATAAACTGTACAATTATCAAATGTTAAAACTGGGTGATACAGTCACCAAAAAAAATACTAAGTATGATAAGTTAATAAATTAAATGTGGTCTATAAAACTACCACTAAGTATAATAGGTCAATAAATTAAAAGTGGTTTATAAAACTACCACTGTGGGAACCCCTTCTCCAGTTAAAACATGTCAGTCATGTGCAAAATCAATCAGAATGGTAAGGTGGTAAAAAAGGGAATATCTTTTCGATACATCAATTATATATGCCTCAGATTTAAAAGAATTAGAAGTTACTTAGTTATCGGCGACTATGATTGCAGTGTAAAATTTGTCATATGAATTGTCGACGGTATAATTAGGGTCTGTTGTGGTGGTGGTGATGGGCTAGGCGTCTAAGGGTCCCTCAAGCAAGGTCTTCTTAGCAAACGCCAGGATTTCTATCGGGTTGGTGGTTAGTATGTCCAAGTTTAAGTCAGATTTTCCGAAGATTTCTTCTCTCGTCCTGATCGTTACAGGGCACCGAATCCAGTGTGGTACCGTTTCTTCTTCTTCTCCGCAACGGGGACAAGTTGCACTCTTTGTAGAGTCGATCCTATTTTTGTAGTGGGACAGGTGAAGGCAATGGCCTGCTCTGAGTTGTGCTAGCAGCGCTCCGTCTTTCCTGCTCTCTATTTTACTGTCCGCTCTTTTTCTGTTGTATCCCTTGTAAGTCTGGGAGACCAGGTGGTGTTGGGGGTCGCTATCCTTGATGTGAGCCTTTGCTACTGCTCTGGCAACTCCGTATGAGATTGTAGACTGTCCTTGGCCCAGGTCCGGGAGTTGTGCTGCTTCCTTTGCTGCTTTGTCAGCGTATTCGTTCCCAGGAATGTTGGAGTGGCCGGGAATCCAGTGCAGGTACGTTGTCCCATGGAGTGATTCCAGAGTTTTCCTGATATCCTGTGTGTCTGGGTTCAGGCTATCGATGCTAGTCAGTAATGCCTGGCTATCAGAGCATATGATGGTGTCATCATACTTCTGGTTCTCTGTCATCCATTTCAGGGCTTCCGTAAGTGCAGTTTTCTCCTCACCATAGGAGCAGGTGAACTTATTTCCCTTCTTTTTTATGGTCTCCAGTATAACGGGGTTAGCTGCTGACCCTGTGGTGATAACTGCTGCTGCTCCACCTTCCTTTGTTCCACCTTTACATGATCCGTCAGTATAGATGGTAGTACATATGTCGTACTTGTCAATCATTCTGATAGCACTTTGGGCGGTCAGTCTTTTGGCAGAGCTTTCGTTAGCTGAATCGCTTGTGTCCCAGAAAGTGTCTCTTGGTCGTGTGGAGAAAGGGTGTTGGTTGTTAGGCACAGCTGGATGGGATTTGGGTACTAGCATAGGAGTCTCTGGTAGTGCTGTGAACACTTTCCAGTTCCTTTTCCTCTGTTCTTCTGAATTCTCCCAGGGCTTTTGGAATGGAGATGGGAGGGCTTCTACGGGATTTCCGTGAGTTGGTAGTTGCCCTCTGGTGGAGTTAGTTTTCTCTCTCCAGGAACTACGGATCTTGCTTCTGTGGGTGGTAGGTGTTTTAGGGCGTAGTGCTGCGTGCCTTGGATGATCTGTTGTAATAGATGATAGTAGCTGTTTCTTATACGAATCACTAAAGCTTTTAACATCGGGCAGATTTCGTAGATCTGTTGGAACATTATTCCAACATTTTGCCCCCAAGTATTGAAAGTTTTTATGTGATGTTGATCTATTGACATAAAGGTTGCAGCTTTCGCCGCTCCTACTACCTCCTGATATGTAACTAAATTTGTTCATAAAGTTTGTAGGACAATTGTCATGGATGATTCTAAACATATAATTTGACAGATGGAGTTGTCGTCTAAGATGGAGTGGTAACCATTTCATGTCTCTATAAACATTAAGGCTGCTCTCTGTTTTTGGAACGTTGAGAGCTATTTTGGCTACCTTTTTGTACAGAGTGTCAAGTTCAGCAAGTTTTGTCTTGCCAGCTCTACAATAGATCGTGTCTAAATAATCGAATTGTGGCAACATGAGTGCATTGGCAAACATTTTCCTATATTTAATGGGTAGCAGTGCTTTACTTCTATACATGGCACCAATTCTCTTCATGACCTTCCTAATAATATAATCTACATGGCTTTTGAAGTTTAATTTACTATCTAGAATGAGGCCAAGATATTTTGTCTCTTTGCACTCCTTGATTGTGAAAGTTACCTCATTACAATCAATGGTTATTTCATCATGTTGGTCAACAGAATCAAACAATAGGAATTCAGTCTTCTTTTCATTGAGTGATAATTTATTAACACTGAGCCATTTAAAGATTGTCATAAGTTCTATTTTCATGTTTATAAATGTGCTTCTGCAGGTTTGATCAAAGAATAGTGCACCATCATCTGCAAATAGAAAGGGCTTAGATAGGTTACAGGCATAAATGATGTCATTTATGAAGATACTAAATAATATAGGCCCAATGATGCTTCCTTGTGGTACACCACTCAGAACTTCTAAAAATGAGCTTAGATTGCCATTGATCCTAGTGCATTGATATCTACAAGATAAGAAGTTCTTAAACCAGGTTAAAGCAATGCCACCAATTCCATAATATGCCAATTTTTGAAGCAATATTTCATGATTCACTGTGTCAAAGGCCTTCTTAAGATCAAGAAAGATGATTCCTGGTTTATAAGACTTAGATTTACTCATATATATTTCGTCCATCAGATCGTACATCAGATAAGTTGTGGAGTGATTTTTCCGAAAGCCATATTGATGCCGGATGAAAAGTTTGTTCTCTTCCATGTAATCAGTGAGTTGCTTGCCGACAAAGTATTCTATAAGTTTTCCTACAAGTGGAAGGATGGATATTGGCCTGTAATTATTAGGATCATCTTTCATTCCTGCCTTATAATTATGGATGGGAGTTACTCTAGCTTTTTTACAAAGGGTTGGTACAACACCTGTATTAAGGCTCAGATTGACAATGTGGGTCAGTGGCTCAACTATGTGTGGTACAGCTTGCTTAAGTAAAAATAGAGGCACATTGTCATATGAGGCCTTGTCATTCTTGAGCGTTTCGACATACATTAGGATATCAGTTTCATTTATTTCTTGGAATCTATCAAATGAGATATTAGAAGTTCTAGGAGGTAAAAAATCAGTAAAACTAACTCTTTCAATATTGGGGGCCTGATTTTGTAATCTTGATCCAACATTTGCAAAATGAAAGTTAAATAGCTCAGGATCATTCTCATTGATAGTTTGACAATTAGTTGTACCAGGGGTCATATTTGATGCCAGTTTGATAGTTTTCCATATCCCTTTAAGATCATTCTTGGCACTTTTAACTTGTAGATCATCGATTACATTAGCCTTTTTGCAGGTTTTAGCTAATGTATTTCTAATATTTCTCTGAATCTTGTAGCAATCCCAGGCCTCATTACACTTTATACATTTGCTACATGTACCACATTTATTGCAATTTCCATTGTCTCTCTTATCCTTCTTTTTACGGAATTTCTTTAGAAGAAAATGTGTATGATTAATGGCATATAAAAGTTCAGTAGAAGGTTTATGTATGAACTTTTCATGCCTTTCTATGGTCTTGCAAGGGAAGAAGGTTGCATATGCCTGTTCAATATGATGACAAAGGCCAGCTGTGATAGCTTCAACATCTGTACTTTCCAATAGTGGACTGTAATCAGAACAGGTGTCTAGATAGTCTAAGAATTGTTTAACATTACGTTTACAATGATTTCTAATTTCAACCTTCTCAAATTTAGGAGCTATAGGTACTTTACAATCTATCTCACACATAATAGCTTGATGATCTCCAATACGTTCATCAAGAACAGAAGATTGGACAAAATCTGCATAACAGTTAGTGAATATTACATCAATAGTAGTCTGGGTAACATTGTCTCCACGTTTAGCAACTCTAGTTATCCCTTGAATGGTTTGAACTAGATTGTAACATCTCAAGGTCATATCTAATTTTTTGTACTGGGTGGATGAGATATTATTCTGGTCAATGTTTATATCCCCAATCCAGATAACCTTTTTCCCATTCAATTTTTTCATGCAAAAATGAATGTATTCAATAAAGTTATCAACACTGCAATAATTTCCAGAGCGATAGAAGCAGCAAACATTGATCTTGCTATTCTTAAGCTTCACCCATAATGCTTCAATGTTATCAAGCTTACTATCCATAACTAATTCTGTGTAAGCTAGTTTTTTGTTTATCATTAAGCCACAACCACCCCTAGAACTGTTTGGCCTGTCGCATCGCATAAGGTTGAAGGAGGAAGGAATATTTATGGTGTCTGTGTCAATAGTATCATTAAGATTCATCTCATTTAGGGAAAGTATGTCTAATTTATGATCTCTAATAAGTTGGGAAAGTTCATTACTTTTAGCTAAATTGAGAAGCCCTCCTTGAATGTTACAATGACCAATGCAGAGGTTGTGAAACCTATCAGCTGCATTATTAAAATTTGTCATCTTGTGAATCTTATTAATTCACAATGGAATGAATAAAAGTTGTAAAGTTGTGTTTAAACTAAAAAAACAGAATAAAAGCAGGTTGTATTTGTCTGGATGTCGTACTGTAAAAATAAAACTGATGGTAGGAGTGTTATGTCAGTATTCAGCAGTATTCTAATGGTGTGCATGATACTTCAAGTGCCTTGCTAATTTAACTATGCCATAATCATTGAGATGGACATTATCCTCTCCATAACTACTAAAAAATGACGATTTTCTAAAGCCTTTCTTATCACTAAACAAGAAACGATTTGTCTCGGTTGAGAGCAGTTTTACATAGGTGTATTTTCTTTGCAGATTTGATATACACTCATTGATATCAGTTATAACCTTGTTTCTGGAGAAACTCTCTCGAGGTAATAAGTTAACAATTTTAATATCAGCTCCAGGTGCCCACTTGTGAAGGAAAAGTACAAGTTTTTCAATACAATTGTTTGTAAAGTCAAGAGCTCTAGCATCACCAGAAAAACTATCAGGGCACAGAAGTTTAGTCCTCATGTTGCGAGGGCTGTTCAGGATAGAGTCCACGTCATTTGTACCACACATAAGTACAATGCTTTTCACATTATTGGTATTAAGAGTGTCTTTTCTTACATCTGATTGAAACCGTTCATTGATTGCATTGGCTGTGGCACCAGGGTAGCTGAATACATGTGCCTAAATGTATGATGCTAAAGCAGAGGCCAGAGCACAAATGTGTAATAAGTTAATAGATTAAAAACTGATTCATGTGATGCATTACGCAGAGCACA